CTTTGAGTACGGTGTGCACCGGTGCCTGCCGCCCCGGGCAGCCGGCGGCAAGACGCAGCGACTGGAGAGGAAATATGGCCACATCACCCCCATGCACCGGAGGAAGCTGCCGCCTTCCTTCTGGAGGGAGCCGGGCCCCGGCCCTGCTGGCCTCCTCCATGCCGGCACCCCCGACTTCAGTGACCTTCTGGCCAACTGGACGGTGGAGCCGGGGCCAGAGCTGCCAGGCACCGGGCGGGAGCTGCCGCCAGAGCCAGACCGCCCAGGGCTGGAGGCCGAGCCCTTCGCTGGGCTGTGACCCCACCATGGCCCTGGGGGCCCCTGGCCCCGCCACGTGCCGCCCAGTTAATGATAAACCCGGCGGCCCCAGTGCCAGCAGCAGGGCACCTGGAGCCGCTGGGTCAGAGCCGGCGATGGGACGAGCGAATAAATGACTCCTGCCAGGCACCAGCGCGTGCAGTGTCCTTTGCCACCCATCACTGTGGTGTCCCTGCCACCGGTGACAAAGGGTCACCGCTCGGTGTGGCCCTCAGGGGGCCGCCGGCTGTCCTGGCAGCAGGAAGAGGTGGGAAGCATGGTGCCGGCAGGAGCCAGCAGCCCGTGTTTACTCTGCGGGCCCAAGTCAGTGAATCCCATCCCCTTATCTCAGCCGCGCCAGGGCAAAGGGCGACGCGGGGCCTCATAAAGCGCCCGCTGCCAGCACCCAGCGGGGACCCGCCACTGCCTTGGGGACCTTCTGCACCCCACGGCTCCCCTGCCACATGGCAGTGCTGGGGAACTAGACCCACACGGGAGAACAGGGCTGACCCATGGCACGGGGAGGGCAGCTGGCCCTTCCCCATGGCCCCCGCTGCCAGACCAGGCTCCCACCGGAGCCCACGGCCCCAGTGCTGTTACCAGGGCCTGGCAGAGGCATTCCCTGCTCTGTGGCAGCTCTTTGTTGGCCTTGAAAGGGAAAAACCCCCGGGAAGGGGCAGCCGCCCCCCGCCTGGAGCACTCCAGCCCTGCCGGGGGGCTAAGGAAGGTGGGGGGGCCCTGGCCACCCCACCAGGCTCGTGCCCTCCCAGCACCAGCAGTGGGGACGGGGCTTGGCGGAGAGGCATGCAGATGTTATGTACTGCTTTCCAAAAGAGAGAGCCCACCATGCAAAACAGACTAACAAATCCCTTTGACTGCCTGACATACTCAGGCAACACAGAGACCCCAACAGCACGAAACCCAAACGATCAACCTCACCCCCTCCATCACGGCCCACAATGCCGCCTGCTTGCCTTTACTGTCGTGCCTCACTCGACTGTCCTGCTTAGCCCAGACCTGTTACTTAAATTGCAAGAATAAGTCAAACCACCCACCGACACCAAAAATTACAGTTACTGCCAGATGACTCAAATATAGGCAGAGACTGAGAGGCCAACTGCCAAAAGAGGTACAGGTAGCGAATGACCATGGCTGGTGTAATGACAGACTCCTCCTTTATGGATAAATAACTGCTAAACGACTCCATAACCTGCAGCATGGAGAACCCCTCGGTAGACAGCATCGTCAAATGAGAGCGCCGACATATACAGGGCAGGAGACTGGGCTGCCCCAAGTTGCTTGCATACAGAATGCTGCTATTAGGTAACACTGCACTATGAAGTCTGGGAGCAAACGGAGGCGATGGAGACCTCAGGGTTCTGGAGGGTGTGTTTCAATGTACCTAAAGCTTTCTGAGATGAGACTTCGACGTCTGACATTTGGCCCCGCATGTTGTGATGTGGAGGCCCGGGCAGTTTACACTGCATCTCTTGTGACTTTGTCATACCTCCTGTTGCCTGTGGAGAGACTGAAACAGACATGAGCCAGCAGTGTGCCCAGGTGGCCAAGAGGGCCAATGGCATCCTGGCTTGTATCAGGAATAGCGTGGCCAGCAGGACCAGGGAGGTGATAGTGCCCCTGTACTCGGCACTGGTGAGACCGCACCTCGAGTACTGTGTTCAGTTTTGGGCCCCTCACTCCAAGAAGGACATCGAGGTGCTGGAGCATGTCCAGAGAAGGGCAACGAAGCTGGTGAAGGGTCTGGAGCACAAGTCTTGTGAGGAGCGGCTGAGGGAGCTGGGGTTGTTTAGTCTGGAGAAGAGGAGGCCAAGGGGAGACCTTGCTCTCTACAACTACCTGAAAGGAGGTTGTAGCGAGGTGGGGGTCGGTCTCTTCTCCCAAGTAACAAGTGATAGGACGAGAGGAAATGGCCTCAAGCTGCGCCGGGGAGGTTTAGGTTGGATATTAGGAAAAACTTCTTCGCTGAAAGGGTAGTCAGGCATTTAAAAGATGGGCAGATGTGGTGCTTAGGGACATGGTTTAGTGGTGGACTTGGCAGTGCTAGGTTAACAGTAGGACTTGATGATCTTAAGGGTCTTTTCCAACCTTAGTGATTCTATGATTCTGTGAAACCCAAATCCAACTGCAAAACCCGTCTGAGAAAGGCTGATGAACCCACCTCCCTTTCCCAACCACCCCCTGGTCCAAAAGCTTTAGAAACCACTTCTCCTGAACTTCCAGGGAAGGAAGCCCACTCCCTCTGACAGCTCCTGCCCTCTTTTTGCACCCCTGAGCCCCCCGTGTCGGCCGCTCCTCAGGAGCTGCTCTGCCGAGCTGTGCCCAGTGTTCTGCCAGCACCTCTTCTCCTCCATCTTCCTACAGCCTCCAGGCTCTGCTACAGGCCCACAAAATAAGTGAAGTCCTGATGCTTGTAATCAATGAGGGGCCTGCCACAAGCTGCAAAGGTTCTAGTGAAAACATGGTACTTTGTCAGTGATTGGGAAAGGCGAGGAGCTGTTCCATACCCTGAAAGACAGTGTGGTACTATATATGCTGCTGTACCTCGACTGGTCCTGAAGCCCTTACCTCAAACAGACACCTCCGCTTCTCTCAATGTCAAACCACACCTACTCAAATAGCTTAGACAGCTCAAAAGCTGCAATCAACTGAAGGAACAGCAGAGCACTGATACCAGAGGAGCCCAGGAGCAGAATGAGCTCCCTGAGCAGGGGTTGCAGCTCCTACAGCCCAGGCCCTCCCCACCACCCTTCCTGCATTCCCCTGGGAAAGGGGACAGGCGAACCACCAGAAGGCATAAAGGCAGCCAGAGGAGCAGCAGGGAGTTTGCTCATCTGCCTTAAGCTTACAGCATGCAAAGCACTGAACAGAGAAAGGAACCCTTACTGCAAACGACAATACCAGTTTTGCTGCATACTGTGCAAGCTATTGACACCAACTCTTAACAGGGCTGCTGGTGAGATGATCTAGCAGGGGTTAAGGTGGACATCTTGTATGCATCTGTCTATGGGGTTTCAGCACTTCTCGAGAAAGCAGCAGGGACATAAGGCACACTGTCTTTCAGGGTATGGAACAGCTCCCGAGGAGCGGCTGACACAGGGGGGATGAGGGGTGCAAATACAGGGCAGGAGCTGTTGGAAGGAGTGGGCTTCCTTCCCTGGAAGTTCAGGAGAAGAGAAAGGGTTTCTAAAGTTTTGGGATTGAGGGAGTGGGGTGGGAAAGGGAGGCAGGTTTATCAGCCTTTCTCAGATGGGTTTTGCCGTTGGATTTGGGTTTTGATGATATCTGTTCTGGTTTAGTCTCCCCACAGGCGACCGGAGGTACAACAAAGTCATGAGAGATGCAGTGTAAACTGTCCAGGCCTCTGTATCACAACATGCAGGGCCGCACGTCAGACAAGTCTCATCTCAGAAAGCATTAGGTACATTAAGGGACATAAAAATACATTGTATACTATAATATACTGTGACGCCCCCCCCTACACTGCCCTTTGTGCCCTGGGGGCTACCGACAGACATGGCGCTGAGCCTGGGCAGCAGCACTGAGGGAAGTGTGGAAGGAAGACACAGACAGCAGCACAATAAAAGTACAAACAGGCTTTATTTGAGCACAGTATCCCACAGTCAAAAGCCCCCCCAGGCACCAAGATGCCCCTGCCCAAGCGAGGAGGGGGCAGCACCAGGCCTATGGCTCCAAGCCAGGGCAAGGGGCAATGCCAAGGCGAGCGGCAAGGGTGGTGGGAGAGGGGGGAGCTGAGGTGCCAGGGCTGGAGCCCTCCTCATCACCTAGGGGAGTGCAGGCTCTGCTCCCTTGCCCTGGCCAGATCCAGGGGTGGTGGTGCGTTTTGGGGTGCCTGGCAGGGTCCAGGCTGCTGGAAAGGGCCAGAACAAGCTGCAGCAAGTGCAGAAACACACCCGGGGTGATTCTGGACACCAGCGTGGGTATAGGGAAGAGGCAGCAGCAGTGGTGGGAGGAGGGCAGGAGTGGCAGAGGGCACGCACTAGGAACACAGGCTGCAGGACCAACACAGGAGAGCAGGCAGCTCTCCCCTCCCCATCCCTGCCCCGAACCCCAGGGGTGTCTCCCCACACACGGGTTGGGGTCAGAGCAGCCGAACCACGGGAGCCCTTTTATTGCACAGCAGAGCAGGTCAAGCGCCTGCCCCCAGGGCTCAGCCTGACCCAGCCAGCTGGAGCATGTGGCAGGAGGGACAGGTCCCTGGGAGCAGGAGGGAGCCCCACCATGTCCCCTCCGCTCCCCACAGACAGGCCCTGCAGCAGGGGCCAGGGCAGGGCTAGGTCCCAGACAGCCCAGGCTGGGTGGATGAGGCAATGGAGGCCATGTGCCATGGCAGAGGGACTGTGCCCAGCTCAGCTGGGCACTGCTGCTCCCCCTGGCACACTCCAGCCTTCACCCAGCCCTCAGGGAGAGCCTACGCCAGGAGCAAATGGAGCCAAGGGTGCAATTTGATCCCTCAGGGAAGCAGAGGAAGGGGTGAGAAGAGGAGGCAGTAGACGTGGGAAGGCAGCGACAGGCAGGAGTGCTGGGGCAGCACGGCCATGCCGGTGCTCCAGGCACCGCGATGTCTGCACAGGCTGTCCCAGTCCTCTCCCCACCTCCCACAAAAGGGGGTCCCTGGCTCCGAGGGGCCAGGGTGCGTCTCCGCTGGGCAGTGCCGCCTCGCATCACGTCTGTGCCAGCGAGAGCTCCTCCAGGCCTTCCTTCCCCAGCCGGTACCTGGCGAGGTCCTTGCGGGTGACCATGCCCACCACCTGCCGGGAAAGGGACAGGGTACAGCCCCACACTGGCATGCAGAGCCTGGGGACAATGGGAGCATGTCCCCCACTGCCAAGGAGCCTAGTCTGTCCACACACAGCGAGCAGGGACTCACCTCGTTGCGATTGTCCACAACCACCAAGTGCCGCAGTCCCAGGGCTCGGAAAAGCTTGAATACCCGCGGCAGAGATGCCTCCTGCAAGGCAGAGCAGGGCTGTGTCAGCTGCAGCATCCCCAGCCAGCACCCATCGCCCACCCATGACCCCCAGTATGCTGAGTGCAGGGGGGCCCCTGGCCGTTACCTGAGGCACAGTGTAGGGCGAGGGGTTCATGAACTCGCTGAGGTCGATCATGCACTCACGCTCATCCTGGGAGACGTGGATGGACTGGATAGGGGGGAAGCGGGGGTAGGCATCGCGGAAATCCTTCAGCTTCAGTCGCCGCTGCACCAGGCTCAGGTTGGCCCTTTCCACAAAAACCTTGGGAGAAGAGAGGCCGTCGGGGACCATCACGCAGTGCTGACAGGCACCAGGACCAGGGCAACACACAGGGGCAGGGAGGGAAGAGGGCAGGAGCGTGGGGCGGATGGACCATCTGCAGAAGAACAGCTGTTTCGCATTCACTCGGGGTTTGTGAGCCCAGTGGGGTGCAGAATGATGCTGGGGTCACCCCAGCACAGCATGGCAGCCCCCACTGTCTCCTCAGACAAGCTGAAGGAGATGACAGAGACCCTCCACCAGCTCCTCCCAAGCAAGGCAGGCACCAAGGGACCTGAGGCAGCAGTGGGACAGGGGAGCCGGGGTTCTGACCAACAGCCCAAACAGACTCCACACAGCATCACCCACCTTGTGCTTCAGCAGAACGATGAGCTGGGAACGCAGGATCAAACCCCGCAGTCCTGCCACCTGCGACAGAGCACCACACATGAGATGCGGCTGGGGCAGGGCAAGGGCCCCATGCCATGGCCAGCCCTCGGGTGGCTGACCCCCAGCTGCATCCCTCACAAGCGGTGCCCAGCCCACCTGCGTGGCGTCAGGGTTGCTCTCCACCACCGGGAAGCCATTGTGGTTAGAGGAGGTGTCGCTGAGGATGTCCACAACTGTGCCAACTCGCTCGATCCTCCGCAGGCAGGTGACAGGAGTGCTCATGACCTCCCTGTGGGGAAGACTCAGTGTGAAGCACAGTCCCACAGCAGCAAGCCCCAAATTCTCCCCTCTCCCCCTAGACATGCCTCCTCCCTCCCCATAACCTGCCAGGGATGCAGGGAGGGAACGCACCGTGGGCCCTGCTCCCCGCTGGGGAAGGGGCTGGGCTGGCGGCACTGGGGATGAAGCATGTCACCACCTCCATTTCATAGAATCACAGAATCATTAAGGTTGGAAAAGACCCTTAAGACCATTGAGTCCAACCGTTAACCCAGCACTGCCCCCCAGGGATGGAGACTCAAACACTTCCCTGGGCAGCCTGTTCCAGTGCCTGACTGCCCTTTCAGCGAAGAAGTTTTTCCTAATATCCAACCTAAACTTCCCCTGGCGCAGCTTGAGGCCGTTTCCTCTCGTCCTATCGCTTGTTACTAGGGAGAAGAGACCAAACCCCACCTCACTACAACCTCCTTTCAGGTAGTTGTAGAGAGCAATAAGGTCTCCCCTCGGCCTCCTCTTCTCCAGACTAAACAACCCCAGCTCCCTCAGCCGCTCCTCACAAGACTTGTGCTCCAGACCCTTCACCAGCTTCGTTGTCCTTCTTTGGACACACTCTAGCACCTCAATGGCTTTCTTGTAGTGAGGGGCCCAAAACTGAACACAGTACTTGAGGTGCGGCCTCACCAGCGCTGAGTACAGGGGCACTATCACCTCCCTGGTCCTGCTGGCCACGCTATTCCTGATACGAGCCAGGATGCCATTGGCCCAGTCCACCTACCTGGCCGTGAGGGAGTGGGACGTCACCGGGGCCTCCCAGTGCAGGAAGGGCACGCTCTGCAGCTGGATGTGCATGTCGTAGAGCCCCTGCAACGAGAGCCGAGCCATCAGGAGAAGCCTGGTGAGATGCCAGGGGGTACAGCCAGGCAGCAGCTCCCATCTGAGAGGGAGCACACACTTGTCCTGGCCCCCCCGCAGCTCCCCAGCACCCCCAACCCACAGCCTCTCGCTGGGTCCCAGGCTCCCAGTGAGCACACCAGCCCTCACCTCCACAAAGTAGTCTCCCACAATCTTTGCCGTCATCAGCACCAGCATGATGGGGAAACCATAGGTGACATTGCCTGTTGCCTCCATCATGATGACTGTAAGACTCAGTGTCATCCGCACTATCCCACCTGCAAGAGGTACCCGAGGGGTTTGGGGGTTTAGAGGGTCAGGGAAACATGGGGTGAGGGGATAGCAAAGCACCCAAGGCCCCTCAGTCTCTGCATGATGATCCAGGACTGCCTGCACAGGCAGGGGTGCCCTGGCCGAGCCCAGCCCTCACTTAGTGCCCCAGCGCTGCCCATGCTTGGCAGGGTTATTAGGAAGCCAACAGCCAGGCTGGCCTTCAGCTGGTCAAGAAGCTGCGCCAGGGAAGCACGGACTGCTTTTTCCCATGCCACCTTCAGCCCGACATGAGCAGCGGGTGGCCAAGACTGTGCCGTGGGGAACTCACCCAGCTGTGCGGCAGCTCCCATCAAGGCGTACTTCCCAGGGTCAGCCCAGATCTGAGCACAGGAGAGAGAAGGGGCTGAGTCAGCTGCTGGCTCCAGGGCATGCAGAGATAATGAACAGTGCTGTGGCCCCAAAACCCCCCTCCAAAGCGAGCAGCACCTGAGGCCGCCCGCACAGGCCAGCTGCCAGCAGGGCTCTGTCAGGACATGGGAAAGCCCAGACCCAGCTCAGGAAGACATCAAGCAAGGAGTCAACCCACTCCACACCTTTCCAGACTGCTGTGCTGGGCTCTTAGCCAGCTCCAGGCCTGCTGCCTGCCCAGCAGTGAGGAAGAAGGGCTGGGTGCTGCATCTCCTTCTGCCCAGTGCTCCTTCCCACCAAGCACTCACCGAGCCTTTGGTCAGGTAGGACAGGGAGATGCCAAAGAGCCTCCCCCAGGCAGCGCCGATCAGCAGGGAGGGGATGAAGACCCCTGCAGACACCGTGAGGCCGTATGTCCAGCAGGCCAGGAAGAAATACATCAGTGTGAACATGCCCAGCGTCATGGGGTTGTAGGAACCTGAGGTGGAGAGAGAATGGAGAGTCAGTGCTGGTCCCGCAGCCCAGAGGGCAGAGAGATGGGCTTCGGCCATGGGAGAACGGACAGCAGCAGCCCCATGACACACTCCCAGCACTGAAAGCCCCTCTCATCAGGTGCACCTTCCTCCCTGGCAGCACAAGCCTTTCAAACCGGCTTTTTAGGTTGTTTCTGCCCTCTCAAGGGCCCCGCCAGCTGGCTGGTGCCATCCCAAGCCCTCCCATCCCACCAAGTCTAGCACGCACCTTTCCTCCATCTCATGACCTGCGATGACCCGTCCCCTCCCAGCCCTGTGGTTCCCAGCCTCCTGTGAGGCAGCGTGACGAACTTCAAAGCCCTGAGGGACTGCCAGTGCTGGAGGATGAGGTCAGGAGGACAGAGGTGCTGGTGACCTGGCAGGGGTCCTACCGCCAGCTTCAGGACCAATTCAGCAGAGTAGGTCCTGCAAACCCCCTCCCGTCCCGCAGCTGCCACAGCTGCTCTGGCCAGTTCCAAGCTGCCCCACAGCACAGGCTGTGCCATCACAGCAAGACCCTGCTGTCCCCAGGACTCAGCCTACTGCTATTTTAGGATTGCAGAGCAGCTCAGTCTAGTTTAAACGAGTACTTTACAACCTCTTCACAGAGAGGTCAATGAACCAAAGCCCTGAGCCAGGGAGGACCCAGCACTGCAAGGAGTGCCCCCAAGACACAGGACAGTCATCACTTGGCTTCAGGTGGCCAAGCGGCACTCTCTGGGCTAAGGGTGTAGAAATTCGGAGCTGCCTGCTCCCTGCCCACGTGCAGCTGGGCACAAAGCTCAGACCAGCAGGCAGAGGGCATGCTATCATTACACTAGGTCCAAGGGAAATGGGATCTGGAACCTGGGAGCCAAATTGCATTTCTCAAGCAAATCCAAACCCCAAGATCCACCTCTGCAACCTGCCCAGAAGGTAAAGCCATTCAGGGGCAAGAGGCCCTGCTAATTAAGAAAACAGCCAGGGACATTTCCAGGACAGACTTCAGACAGCAAGTGAAGGTCAGACATGCTCCCACGCAACTCAGAAGCAACAGCTTGCAAACATGCATGAACAAAACCAGGTCCTTGTCCACAGGCTCCTGAGACCACAGCCCTTTGGCTGAGCTCATAGGTGCCACCAGGTACAGCATCCATCCCTCTTCCTTCCACCGCTGCAGGAAAGGGGCAGGCACAGTGCTTTGGTGCATCCCATCATGCCCTCACAGGGCCGTGCTGATCATCCCCTGCCTCATCCCACAAGCGGCCAGGGAACAGGTCAGCCACCTCACACAAGCCCAGCCCCACTCTGCTCACGTTCAAGGACCCGCTCGCTGGGTGCACAGACCTGGAGGGTCATGGAAGAGGTTGACGACACTCTTCTCAGGTGTGTTAAAGAAGGCAGTGGCCATGGAGTTGTACTCTCCATCAGCACAGAAAAGCTGAGGGAGAAGAAAAGAGGGAGTTAGAAGTGGCAGATCCAGGCTGCCCTCGGGCAGGGAAGGCTCAGGGGACATGTGCCGGCAAGGAGGCAGCTCTGGGCAGCAAGCACACCAACACCGCGCTTGGGTCTCCAGCTCTGCCTGCAGCAAAGGGCATTGACTGTGAGGTCCAGTGCCACAAAACCCAGCAGGGGCTCATCTCCCTGCTCAGCCCTCAGCCTCTGCCCAGGCTCAGGGTGCTCCCCACCCTGGGGGGCCGCTCTCCAGCATCTCCTACCTGCAGCGGATATGCTACCGTGCTCCCCTGGATGGGCTGGCAGTCTCTCGAGCAGTAAATCATGACAAACCCCACAGTTGCCGTCACTGCTGCCACCAGCATGGCCTCGACTACCTGGAGGCAGGGCCGGTGGATGTACCTGCAAAGGGAGCAGAGGAGCGAGGGTGGCACCCAGGAGTGCAGGCAGGATCACCTGCAGGCTGGCTTGGCACGTCACATCGGGCATGCAGACAGGTTGGCTGCCTCTGCTCCCTTCCCGGACCCTGCCAGGCTGTCCTGCCTCTGGCGAAGCTGTGGTGGAGACCTGGGGCAGGAGGCCAGCAGCAAGAGCAGCTTTGCCCAACCAGCTCCAGCAGACCTGCCTGCCTCCCCTGCACAGAGCTGGGCACAACTCCCACGGAAAGGTTGGCGTGATCTGGCTAGGGAGACAGTGCAGAGCCAAGCCCAGAAAGCTGCGGCCCGTGAAGGCCCAAGAAGAGTGATGCCCTGGAAGCTGCTGCAGGCCCCTCACCACTCCACTGCCACAGGTCATCCTTCCCTGAAGTCATGAGGCTGGTCCTGGTGTTTGAAAAGCTGGTGACAAGTATTGGCTGTGACAGACTGTGCTCAGATGGCTTTAGCAGCTCTCTCCATTCTCTCATTACTCTCAGAAGCACATAACAGTCAGGTCTGCACAGTGTTCTCACTTTTTCGGGTCCTCAAGTCACTGAAGGGAAATACTTAGCAGGGTCAGAGCAACAGTGGGATGCTGCGGGTCACAGCCTCGACTGCAGACAGCAAGAGACATCTTTGCCTCCCAGCTTCCAGGGGCTGCTGTTGCTCATGTTAAGTGCAAGATTACAGACTTGCTTTGGGAATTACAGCCCTCCCTGGCTGGGAACGTCGCTTTGAGGAAGCACAGAAGGCGCCAGCCAACCCATGTCAATCACCTTAGCTACCCATGAGCTCTTACCTGATCCGGAACATCGTTAACCAGTAATTGAGGGCATTGAACAGGGCCCCGAGGATGCCACCTGCAAATGCAAAAGAGGAAAGCTCAGCACGCAGGTCCGAGGCTCTCCTACAGCTGCCCAAGACACAAGGAACCCCTGAAGCTCAGGGAGACATCAACAACCCATCCAGCATGACCGGCAGCCCTGGGACACGTGGACGCTGTCCCTGCAGAGACAGCCAGGACCTGACACCAAGAGGAGCCTGGCATCAGCAGCGGAGTGGCTGAGGGCCAGTGTCACAGCACTGGCACTAGGCAGGCAAGGGACAGGCCAACTCTGTGGGGATAAGGGCAGCTCGTTTGAAAGCAAGGGGCTACCCATGACTGTGATGCACTGACCCCACTCAGTGACTTTGCAGTACATTGATTGAAGGGGCTCACTTTTTCCACAAGGGTAAGGGTTGGGCCAGGATCCAGCTCTCACCCCTGTGTAAACCCCACAAGCAGCCTCTGCTCCAGAGTTTAATGGATTTTCCATTCTCCCCAGGAAACTGATTCCGAAAGCTTTTTAGACCCAAACAGAGAACAGAGGGAATCACTCAGACTAATTGAAATTGGAAGAGCAGCACTCTCTTACCAACCACTCCCATAAAGATGAAGATAGGAATTTCCTGGATTGTGTATCCCATTTTCTGCAAGCAAGAAAGAAACAGGTTTCAGATCTCCTGGCCCATCTGCAGTCCCGCAGCCAGTCATTGCTGGGACAGCACAAGCCTGCACGAGCGAGCGGCTCCCAGAGCTGCCCCAAGTTGCCCCTGGACGCTCTGCAGCCCCCAGATCCAGCAGCGGCTGCAGAAAAGCCTTCTGCTGGGGTTGGTGGAGCTGCGATCCAGCCAGACCCCACAGCCTGCTAGGGCAGAGCCTGCCTCAGCCCTTGGGTGATGCTTTAAGACAGACTGGTGGCCCCAAGCTGCCATGGGCTGCTTCTGACTTCTCCAACAGAGCCCTACATGAGGAATATCTGTCCCATACCTCGTTATCAAACCTGCCGAAGTTGATGAGCCCAGGGCTGGAGAGGTCCCAAGCATTGCCGTGGTAAACGCTCAGAACAGAGTTCAGAGTGAACGTAGAGATCATAGAGGCAAAGAACTGGAAGGAGATGCAGCCCAGAGTCACTGCCAGACACCTCCAGCCCCGCTCCCTTACCACGTGCCCCTCGCACTACCCTGAACTGCCCCCCCAAGGCCCTTGGGTAGGGCTTGGTACCCATGGTGTGGTGGGGACAAGAGGCCGCATTCCCTGCCAGCAGTACTCTAGGCAGCTTACGCTGACCAGGGGCTTGCTCCTCCTTTTGCCTCTCTGTTGCCCTGGGGCACAGCCCAAGGCAGCTCCCTTGGAAAGGAGTTGGCAGCAAGATGGAGCTCAGCCAGGTCCAAATTCAGCCCCTGAGGACCAGCGCACAGAAGGAGAGCTGGGATGCTCTTCCCTGGGATGTATTACACACAGCTGCCTGGCTCAGGCAGGGATGGCAGGAGGCCTGGGGCTGCAGGGCATCGGGAAAAGGCAATGCCTCACACCGGAGCTGGCAGCCCTCAATTTACTGCTCCTGCTTTCCAGCACTTACAATTCTCCATGTCAGGAACTGGTTCCAGAAGGAAGCCCCTTCCTCCAAGCTGAAGAGGACACCCCCTGCAAATGCAAGACACCAACACCTTCACAAGGGGCGTGTGCCACAGACCCTTGGCTCACAGCACCAGCCAAGGCACCCACCCAACTTCATCCCAGCCCACGTGCCCCATGCTGCCCACACTTCACAGGCTCCAGCAAAGGGACCAGCAAGCCCACCAAGCCATCAGTGACGTACTGATCACAACGAAGCCCCTCCACTGCCCTCCTCAATCCCAGGGAAGCAACATCTGGGATCCAAGACAGATGACCCCCCTCCTCTCTTCCCAAGACCTGCGTGGTATGGCAGGACAGCTTGGAGCAGGGCCGGGCACTTCATGGGAGGGCTCCTGCAGTGCCCTAGGCAGATCCCAGCAGCTGCCTCCATGCAAGTGGGAGCAACCTCCTGACCAGATCCACATGCAGGCACCACTCAGCATCACAAGAGCCAAAACATACCCACAGGGGCACCAAATGCAGCCGAGACGCCAGCAGCAGCTCCAGCTGAGACAAAGTCCCTCTTTTCTGTGTCTCTGCGGAAGTACTCGAAGATCTGAAACACCAAAGCAAAGGCAGGTTCAGGGCTGGCCACGGGCATGAGTTTAGGGGAGACACAGGGTATGCCTTATATGACCCCAAGCCACCAGCGTGACCCCGAGGAACAGCCCGGTTTGGGCACAGGAGGGGCACATACAGCACAGCCCCTCAGGTCTCAACACCCACCTTGAAGTCTCGCTTTAAGGACGTGGATCTTCCCTGGGAGATCCCGGCAGCAATCACTGCTCCAGAGTGAATCATGGGTCCTTCCTGTGGGCAGGAGAGCAGAGTCAGGTCGCAGAAGGAAGAACTCCAGGGACAGTGAGGGACGGCTGAATGCTGCTCACCAGGTCGCAGCCCTGAAGAAATGGCTGGGAGGATTTCCCTCCGGGAAATACAGGCCTTGCCATTTTCCCCCCTTAAATCCTCATTCTAGCAAGTGGCTCCCATGGCCACCTCCTGTTCCCACCAGCACTCCCTCCAGCTGAGAGGACAGGGGCTTCCCTTGTCTGCCTTCAATCCCAGCAAGCTAGAAAGGTCCCAACAGGGCACACAGGTCTCCCCCATTGAACACCTGCAGGGACAACCACCGATGGACATAGGCTGCTGCTCTCCTGCCCTCAGCTGAGCCACACACAGGCTGGCTTGGTGGCACCGCATGCACTGGGGGCTGACACTGCATGCCCCGGGGGCTCCCCAAGCCTGGCCATGCCGCAGTCACCTTGGCCAGCAGACCAGGGAATAAAACTGGGAAGTCACTGCAGGGCCCCCAGCGCCCCATCCCCAGCACAGGGCTGGTGATGGGCTGCAGCACGTGTGCCAGCAGCGGGTAACAATATGGCAGCAGTGTGTCAGAGAGTGCTTTGTGCACATCACCTTCCCAACGGCCAGGCCGCCGACCACGGAGAGGATGACCCCACAGACTTTGATCACCAGGGTCTGCAAAACAGAGACGACAGGCACAGCACATCACATGGGTAGCACAAGGAACACGATCGTGGCAACCACGGGGGACACAGACCCAGTCAACTGCAGGGGCAGGAGCCAGCGACCTCAGGGAACTTGTGATTCTCAGCCCCTTGTTATGGCAATAGGGTTGGCCAACTTTCTTCTCGGCCAGAGCAAAAAATTACCCAAAGCTGCTCTTCCCAGCGGCAGCTGCCGATCGCAGGGCAGGAGGTTTAACCGCCTGACACTGGGGGGAACTGCGCCGGAGCCAGGCAGCGCAGCAGGGACCACCCCATGAGGACACAACACGCCTGGGCCAGCCCGGGGCGGGGAGGCCCATCATGGGCAGAAGGCACACATCCCACCCCCTCCTGCTTCCTACCTTGAGGCGGACAACGTGCGGGATCTTCACACCGTTGAGATAACATTTGATCTGGGGAATGCCGCTGCCAGCTGCGACGGGCTGTGGGGAGGAGGGAGAGGGTGAGTGTCTGCCATGTACAGGATGGGGACACGCTGGCCACCTTACCCCTGTCTCTCAGCACAGGGTGCAGCAAGCACACCCTCGGGGGGCTCAGAGGTGAGGCCAAAGCCTATCTACAGGCTCTGGAGGTGGGCTGGAGGGAGGCACCCACTGCCCCTCAAGGCAAACGTGCCAGGGAGAAGGAGCTGGCTGGGTTCTTGGGGGACACTAGGGTGTTCCCACCACCGTGGCATGGCAAGAGGCCCAGTGCTGCAGAAGGCTCACACCTGGTGGCCAGGGAGAGCAAGTGCAAAGCCACAAGGAAGACATTGCTGACTCAGAGTGGTCCGTAGGGAGCCATCGCCCCGTCCCAGCCATAACCGGCCCCAGTCTCTGGCTTGTCCTCTGAGCGTGTCCCTGAGGCACCCGATCAGCCTGCTCTCTGCCAGCACTCATGTACACCCAACGCAGAGAGGCCGAGCCAGGGCCGAGGCTTGCGAGAGCTGCGCCTGCGCCCAAGGCTGGAGCACAGCCTTTGCCCCAGGCTGCCAGCAAAGGGCAGCACATCCCATCAGTCTGACAATCCCGGAGAAACGTGACAGCATGGCTGGAGCCAACACCAAGGAACTGGGGCTACCAAGAGGCAATTTGGCAGAAATACATTTGCCATTACACAAACTTGCACGTTTTCTGGAGACATGATCCTGCTTCCCCCATGTAAAGAGCCAGGGCAGGAGGCACAGGGGTACCCCAACCCAGACCTGTTCCAAACTCTTACCTCTATGAAAGCAACGATCACAGAGCCCACCATCACCACGCTGGCATTCAAGGTGGCCCAGAGTAACAGGGAAAAAGACAGGCCCCCTTTCTCTGTGAACTTGTCGATGTCTGGGGAAGCAGCTCAAGGAAAGGCCAGTGTAGGTTAGGTACCATCCCTCCCACCATGATACTGCATCATTAAAATGCTTCTTGGGCTGCAGCAGCACAGCAGATCCTGCGCACTTAGGGCAGCCAGGGCTGCTGTGAGAAGCCTCCTCCGTTATGGCAGTGCCCAGCCACAGCTCAGCCCCGCAGAGCAGCCAGGCACCCGGCAGCACCTTGGGCAGCAGGGTCCGTGCCACCAAACCCAGGCGAGGAAGTGCTGCCCTCTCCCTCGGCACCCCTCTTGTGGCTACCAGGAGCAGAGATCCTGCAGCTCCTGGCTGGCCGGTGGCCATGGCTCCATGGGAGGATACTGCCCTTCACCACCCGGTACTTCAGCCCAGCCAGGTTCTCCACCACAATGTCAATGAAGCAAGCAACAAGGCCGGTGAGGATGCCAATCATGGCACAGATGACCCAGCGCTTGATCTCCACCGTCCGGAAAGCCTGATGGACAGACAGACATCAGACCCCGCTGCCACCCAGCCTGGCCCCCGCCAGCATCGGGGGTACTCCAACCCACCTGGACACCTTCCCCAACACAGCCCTAAGCCCCCACGGAAAACTGATGCTGACTGACCCAGGATTGCAAAGCCTGGCCACAATTTACTTATTTTAAGCCAGTGCCCTTGCCCCTCTGTGGGATCCCTAACAGCAGATGTGCTTTTCCAGCTTGCCTGCCTCCGTCAGGCCCCTCCTGTTGGGCTTCTTACTGCGACACTGACTCCCAAAGGCCCCAGGGCAGACGTTTCACATGGCTCCAGGAGTCCCTCTTCTCAGGGACTTGCCCCGTGCTGCCTGGCAATGCCACCATGCGCATCCAGGCTAGCTCCCATTCAAACCATCCTGTGCTAGGTCCTTGCTCCTGAGGTTTTACAGCTCATCACAAGCTGGTCAGTGCCCATAAACCCACCCCAGCTCAAGTGCTGCTTTGAGCACGACCTGCCCTGGGACGGAGAAGCCCCCCAGCAGCTGGGCAGAGGGGAATGGCTTCCCTGGGCCATCCCAGCTGCAGGGACAGTAGGCAACCAGGTTGCAGAAAGACTCACCGCATGGTTTATCCTCCTCTCCTCCTCCAGGAACAGCTGGTTTTCACTGTTGTCATAGTCCAGGCTCTAAATCAGGAAAGGGAAATGCTGTTACCATCTAGCACAGGGGAAGAGACATCCGTGTCAGGAAGGGCTGGCCTCAGACCCTCACCCCTGCCACTCCACACTCCTGTATCTTTTTCCTCTCTTGACCCTGCTCCTTCCCTGCTGGAACCCCTCTAGCTGGGCAGCCGCAAGCCCTCACCCCACGTACCTCACCCACTGCATCCCAGAGGGCAGAGCCAAGGGAGGGAGACGGGCGCTTACCTCATACTTGAGCGACAGGAGCTTCTCATTGTGGGGGATCTCGTTGGGATGCTGCCGAGGGAGCTCTGTCTCCTGCAGGACACGATGCACACGTTAGGAGGGCTGGGTCCAAGTCCAACCCTCCTTTCTGCCACATAACATCTGGTTTAGTGCTGTTTTCATGCTCAGGAGAGGCAGGGAGGACTGCAGAGACCCAAGCCCCGGTGCAAGCTGCCTGGCAGGCCAGGATCCAGGATGATTTTCCACCAGTTGATGGATGTATGGGACTTAAGGCAGCTGGAACAGGCTGTCGGGGTGCACCTTTGCCCACCACCTCTCCACCCCTGGGTAGGACGTTTCCCCACGGGGAGATGGAGGGTTTGCCCAGCCTGGTACCACACTGCCATGTTGATCCGGCGCTGCCTCTGAGCAGCTCCGCACTCCAGCGGAGGGCAACCTTTCACCTCGGCAGGAAATTCCTTCAGCAGAAAGCAAGGAGCTATTTCAAGCAGGCACACGATTTTGGGCAGAAACCAAATTCTGTTTCCCAAATGCCTTTGACTGTGCAAGCTGTTCCCAGCTCCGAATTAGGGCATTTACTGAGGATGCCGGAGGGGCCCCTGGGGCAGAGGCATCCTGCACCCTTCCCTGGCCCCGCGTTGAAGCTACAGCCAAAGCCAGCCCAGCCTTTCCTCCAAGGTGCCGGATTAAGACACGCTTCTTCCCATTTATGAATTCCATAAGAACTATTTAGCAAAACTCTTCTTCCCATTTGCTCTTCCTACAGCTCCAGAGCTGAGGCAGGAGCATCTGGGAAAGAAAAGCTTCTCAGGTGTGCATGGAGGGGGAATAAATTGAAACTTGAGAGTTTTTGCAAGATGCCCCGTCTGCCACTAACCCTGTCCCCAGGGCTGAGACATCTTCCCCCAGCTGCTGTCCCACTACACATTCCCTCCCTTGCCTTTGCACTGAGCTGGGCAGCAGGCAAGAGCAGCAGCTTGGAGCTCTCACGACAAGAAAGAAATCCCTTCCCACACCACTAGATTCTACATTTGCTCCCGCGGGAGGAAGGCTCCTGTGCCGGCGGGCTAGCGCTGGTGCTCAGAGAGGTGCAGGGGACCATGACGTCCTCGGGCCAGCGAGGCTAAGAGGAAGCAGCAGTGGTCGAGGCAGAGGGGCAGCCAGTTGCCTGTGCCCCGAAGGTTGCCCAGCTCAGGAGGAAGTGCTGGAGCCTTTGTGGGACAAGCAGGATGTGAGGGGGGGAACAAAAGCAGCCATTAGCGCTGTCAGTAGAAGAAGGGAAGTGGTGTCAGTAACAGCGGGCCCCTTTCTGTGCCACTCACCAGCTCACGGATGTCCTCGTTGAGGTCCACATTGCTCAGCTGTCCGATGCGCAGGAAGGAGGAAGGAGTGAGCTGAGGAGAGAAGGGAAAACGGGGTCAATTCCCGAATGTGCCGCAAACCTTGGCAGAAGGAAGGAGCAGGCACACAGGCGCTCGTGCTCTGTGCCTCTCGCTGAGCTCTGCCGGCCTGCCCACTGCCAGAGCTCCCCAAAGCGCAGCACCCACAGAGGACTGCTCTCAGAGGACACATGGAGGAGGCAAGACCCACAGCCCCAGAGGGAGCACGAGGCAGCAACAGTCTGCCAGGGTTTGAGCAAGCTGCTGCAATGTTAGCTAGCAGAGCCGGCTCGCCCCAGGGAAGGTGCCAGCCAGCAGCCCCAAGAGCTGGCGTGGCACCCCGACACAGCAACCGTGCAGCCAGCAAACCCATGCTGAGCAGCACATTCCACACTCCCCTGGAGCTGGGGAGGGACAGACCCCCCGAACAGAAAGTGCCATCTCCACGGTCACAAGCACACCAAGACCTGCCGGGGCCATCCCTCAGCTCACACAGCCGGCCAGTGATAAGGGATAGCCGAGGGCACGTTTAGCTCTGCCATCTGCTCCATGGGAGCGGTTCCTAGCTGGGGAGACGAGCACATCGGCACGTTCATCTCCCTCCGAGCATCCAGGACCGGAGCGACAGCCGGGCCGGCTGCCAGCCAGCTCACACAAGAGGAAGCGGGGCATGTTGCTCCCGCACAGCCTTGGGGACACTGGCACCTCTCCAACCCAGCCCCAGAGTGATGCTGGGAAGGAGCCTTTGCAACTCCCTCTGGGGCAGCAGGTTCTCCTTTCTCTGATGACCACTCCGGCTCGTTACTGGTAGCGCAATTGCATAACATGGGAGTTTTTGGACTATTTGGGGCACCTCTTGTCTCCCAGCCGATGCAGGCAAGGGCTTGGGTTGCAGCCGAGCCAGCCTCCAGCCGGTCAGTGCTGCAAGGGCACCCAGCAGAAGCAGGCAAGCTGCCATCACCCCTCCGCCATTGTGAAACACAGGGATGCACAAGGGTGTGAGCAGCACTGTCACTAAGCACAGCCCAAACATCATTTCTCAACATTAAGATCTTTCCCTTTGAAGCCTCACCCCTCCCCAGCTGCCAGGCTAGAGGACTGGAGAATAAAAGAGGGATGACAAGCAACAGCAGGGCCCAGGCACGTTGGCCCCTCTCTGCTGGCAAGCCAGCAGATCCCAGATCAAGCCCCTGCCACTTTAATCCCCACCGATCCTGTCTGGAATGTGTGGGCCAGGGCAGCTGGGAGCCGCACACATCACCGCAGATGAAGAATATCCCTTTGTGTTTGCAGCCTGACCTATTTTCCCATTTCTCCATCTGCTCCACGTTCTCATTCACTCCCTGACCTGCAGGCAGGTTTTGCTCCAGCTTCTCAAACCCTCTTTGGTGCCCTTTCATCCCCAAAAGCCTGAGCCATGGCAGTCAGGGGCATCCCCACCAAGGGAGGCGCGGGACTGTGGATCTGCCCACAGGAGGGGCTGAGCACAAGGTGCTCCATGGAGCGGTTTTTGGACATGGGTTTGCCAAGACCAGCCTGGTTCTGGCTCCACAGTCCCCCTGGAAAGGACTCAGGTGGACTTTCCCAGCAGTCAGAACAGACCATCGTGGGCTCCTACAAGCCGGGCACAAACAAAGCTGTCACCTCCCCAGGGGAACGCAGATGGGAACTTACACAGAGTCACGAGCTGGAGGCAGGAACTGCCTGTTTCAGTGTCCGCTGGTGCCCAGCCTCTTCAGTGGCAGGCAGAGGTCCCAGCCAGGCCCCTGCCATCCTGGGGAGGGGAGGAACAACAGCGTCCTCACCCTGAAACCCTGGGAGGGACAAAGCTGAGACCTTGCAAGGGAACTCCCCTCCAGCCAGCTTTAGGAAGCACAAAATTTTAAGGTTCTTATTAGATGCCACATGTCAAGGGTAAGATCAAGGCAATGAGACACAAACCGCCACTGGCGCCGTGTCCCCTGCTCATGCCTGGGCTCAGGCCTCAGGTCCGATACGGGACCAGCCCTTCAGGGAAATCCCCCTTCTGCTAGTCACAGAGGTCCGCAGAAAGAGCAAATGGGGCCAAACCAGTGACACATCCCCCCTACACCCCTTCCCTATGGAGCAAGTGGCCACAGCACAGCAGATCCATTCCCATCAGATTAGGCAGCAGCAGGACCCAAGCACAGATGAAGGGAAAGGAGCTGCAGTTGGACCTGAAGCTGAACTTCGTTAGACAAGCAGCATGTTTTTAACATGCCCCCCC